ACGACAACGTCCCCAAAAATAGCCCCACCCATCTTTGGGTTGTGGTGGCTGTTCTCCGACCCCGGTGGATCCATCTAGTACTACTAGTAGTACCTACGTCCTTGACTGCTATCCACTCAAAAGGGAAGTACTATTGATCGTCAAATGCACGTTGCTTGTTGCCAAGCCGAGTGCCAACCCTTGCGTGGCAGACGCGTCACTGCGTCAGGTTTAGCGACATCAGGTTCAGCATCCAGCTACTGTCTACAACATGTAGGGGTTCAATGTTGCGTGGTGTTCCAATGGACTTCAAATGTTGTAGCCCATGTTGCAGAGGACGTGTTGTTGATACAACATCTAAAAATATACCAACTTCCCGTGCCACCTTCAACACTATACTAGCCTACGCATTATCGTATAGGGCTGTAGGATGAATGGACGTCGATGGCATCCTCCTGCTGATCCAGCACCAGACCTGTTGAGGCATGGCTGCAATACCCTGCATGGCAAAAGCCACTCGCACGCCGGTACGTCGTGGTCGACATGTATGGAAATAAAATACAAACAGCCCTAGTAAAGGCAATGCGCTTCCAACGGCACGCTAAAAACTCCATTAAAGCCCTTTCGAATACAAGGATACTCGAGACAGCCACGGGCGACCAGAAGCCAAGAACATACCCAGGGCAAGCAGCCAGCACGTGAACCTAAAACGGATGGCGCAAACGAGAGGGCCTTTTGCAAACTACGTCTAAATTTTGCATGCTCCGCCGTGCAAGAGGAAAAGGCTTAGTGTGCCGTTTGTGGCACATCGCCATGACGGTATTCTCGGTACATCACAGCCCGTGTGTCTGGAGCCCTGGAGGACAAAGCTATGTATGTCGTCTGTTCTCTGCCCGCATGTCGATCCTGCGAATGGGCTGGTTTGCGCTGTGAAGCGCCAGGTATGGTCTCTAGGAATGCCTTGCTGCGGAACGTAGTCCAATAGTACTGCCATTTGCGCCCTCTTCATGCACTAGTTAGTGTAACTTGAGGTATTCGCCAATCTCACACCTAGCATCCCAGTCTATTCATTATGAGTTTATGACTGTCTAAGCTTTAGCCAACCAGGTAATTGCTTGAGCCTTGAGGCCTCCGAGATAGTACTATACAGAAGAACAATAACAGGGAACAAAAAAAAGAAGCAGGAATGTGCAAAATTGCCTTGCAACAAGTCCATGAGGCGGGAGGTATTGCCATATCTAGACCAAAACCAAAACTCCGAAATGTAATGCTGTAATTTCTATACCTTCCAAGAGACAAATGAACAAAAAAAAAAAAAAAAAAGGACAAAACCCTCACCAACTTGAACGCCCCGTTTATCTACAATAGATGTTTTAGTCCAGGGTAAGGTGAAATCGAGAAGCGAGTGAAGATAAATTCCCCCCTCCAATGGTATAAAGGAGACCAAGATGAAACTCTATGTGGGAAAATGTATGTGGAAACTGTTCCGGTATATGTGCTGTTGATATTCTTCCCGACGTCTTTTCCCTGTTCCTTTTCCTTTCCTTTTTTTTTCGGACATCATTGCGTTCAAATGACATCAGATCGCTCGTACCCAGTGGCCTTCAAAGCCGGTTTAGGCGGCTCTCTGTCCTTGAATGTGCTGACAAACGGATTAGGGTCCTCCGTCTGGTTGAGGTTTCCAAGGGTGTGGTTGACTCCACGATGACCAGCTTCATCTGCGCGAATGTACAAGATGAGGTCTTTCATCGTGCGGTTTCCTTCCGGCATGTTCCAGTACTGCACGATATGAGAGAACAAGGCCCCCTTTGTTAGCATTTTGCTTCGCAAGGCAGGCTTTCATGCAGTGTTATGGATGCTTACCTGGACAGCAATATCCGGGATTTGAAACTTCGCATCAGCCCACTTTGGAAGGTGGCCGTCCTCGATTTCACGAATAGCCCGGGTGTACGTGTGCACGGCTTCCTCTTCGAGGTATCCGACGAACCTGTGGACGATCCGGGGATGGAGGAGGTACGTGATGAAGAGGGCGTTGAAGAAGACGCCCTGGGCTCCGATGATCATGAGCTTCATGAACCAGCCGGGCTCGCACATCTTCATGAACGTTAACAGATGCATTCTTTCGTTGTAGCTCTCCTCGAGCAAGGTCTCGATCCACCCGTTGTCGCGCTTCATGCGCCTGAGGCTGCTGAGATGACGCAGCATGCCGCCCACCATTCCTGGAACGCCGGCGATGCTCTCGAGGAAGACAAATCGGACAAGCTGGATAGGCGCGTGTTAGCAATAGCTGTAATATGATTTGCTTGTCTGTAGGCCGTGTCCCCGTGGCGGATTTTTGGACCATTGGTTTTTCTTCTTCTTTCTGATGTGAGAATGCGTACGTACCCATTGTGCTTCGGTCAGTGGTTTCTCTGCCACCACAGATGTGGTGGGATTCTTTTTATCAACTTGCTGGTCTCTGCCCATGCCCGTCGCCTTGTCCATCCAGAAACGCGCGAAGCGAACAATCTTCCAGGCGGCCCAGTCACTAAAGTTTCGGGGCTCGCGATGAGCGGGCTCGACGGCCACCATCTCTTCCAGGGTATACCCAGGATGCGGCCATGCTGCTTTGGTTGTTTGAATGTGTGGCGTGTCCTTGGCGGGAAAAATGTCTCTAAGGTGGTTTCTGGGTGTCGTGGAGAAGAGTCGTGGCGAGGCGATTATGTGGTGATGCTGGGCTGGGCCAACGCAGGCGAGTCTGAGGCCAAGTGGTGATCCGGCAAGAGCAAGGTTAGCAGATCGGGCTAGCTTGACAGCCTGCCGGGACATATGAGTTCGGGTCTGAATGGTGGTGGAAATCATGGGAGGCGAGAGATTTATGTGACGGTGTTGTTCGTCTCGTTGTTGATAATGATTGGACAGACTGAACGAGTGATTGCCTGATTAAAGATCGGCAATCGACAATTTCGGGTTCAGGAAAGAGGTTGGCTTTACTTTGATTAAAAAAAAAAGATAAAGTAGTGTTGGTTATGGTGTCGCCACAATGATGGGATTTCAGTCTACGAAAGTCTAAACCGGCTGGGCTGGATTTATATGCATGAGACTCTTGACTCAACACCGGGATCCGATTACACGGCGAAGCATAACGGCTTGGCAGTATCCGGTAGGCTATCGGCGATGCCTTTGGCCACAAGGCCCAAGCAAAGCAAGACGGTTGGTCTTACGGAAGTAAACAAGGGAAGAAATAAAAATGGAAATCAAACCCGCCATTCCAGAAAGACACCGAAGTGATGCCAGACGAAGACGGATCGGAATCGACGCCGCACTAGCAGTTGACGGGTCGCCCACCCTGCTGGGTCAAGTAACAACTAACTCCGCGGGGAGGGCGGCCAACTGCAATCCATCAATGTCGATTCATTGAACGTTGCCCTAACCCGTCAAGTCAGGTCTGCACATAAGTAGGTGGTGGGTGTCCAGGCGGGCTGATGTCAGGCTCAGGGGCCTGGCAAGCGGGAGCTGGCGAGCGGACATCGGGCCCATGTCGAGACTCGGCTTTCAATCAAGTTAAGTTCTGCCAGTAGTCAGGTACTTGGCACTTGGAGCCAGCACCGAGTAAGCACTTGCAAGATTAGAAGCATCGGGATCTTCCGGGCTCTCACGCATTAATCGCTCTACATGTACGTAGGTACATACTTTAAGTACCTACCTACCTAGGTAGGTACCTAGGTAGTTACCGAATAAGTACTACCTACTTAAGTACCTAGGTAGGTAGTTTGTTAGTGGACATGCTCGCTGAGGCACCTGGGTAAAGTACTCAAGTACTTAGACTTAGAAGCAGCAAGTAGCTGACCCCTTCAGTAACTCCGTGTCAGACTTGGCTTTAATACTCTTGCAGAAATTGGATTCCGAATCATCCCGTCCGTACGGAGAACTTGCTGGCATAATATTGCCCAGTGTGCCCCATCGTGCCCCATCAGCATCTGTGCTACACCAAGGCTGTATCTGTCACGAGCATGAAGAAACTTTTCAACATCTCGATTCCTCATTCGTAGGTGTCTCAACATCTCTATTGTTGACATCTCAGAAGTCGTCAGGCCATATGGGTTCCATTTCTCCGTGCTCCGCATTGGATCCCGAATTCCCGAGAAAGCTGAGACGCAAAAATATTGACCAGTATTTATGACCAGACCCGATTTCCAATCTTGACACCCAATCGCCAAGGCCCATGGCGGCACCAACCAAGTAAGCTTTGTTACTAAGGATGCGGCTCTTGCCATCCATACATATGTATGTACTACATTGATTGCTCCACCAACCCAGACTGCCGGATGCAGCACATGTCTGTCGTCGTCACGCGCATGGCACGGAATTAACTACGTAGTACTAGTAACTACCTAAGTAGGTAGATGATGAAAACATTACTCCGTACATGGTCGGAAACCTGATGGGCTGTGACTGCACGTTCGGCTAATCTATGCTAGACGCAGCATAAAATAGGCTACCCTCAGCGGGCTTCAAAAGACCTCATTTCTCATTTCCATGTCCAAGCAAGTCATTTCTGGCGCCGCAGTGGGACGGGGGCGAAACCGAGTTTTTGTTCTGGCTCACAGTCACCCGTGCGAGGATTTATGCACTTGGAAGAGAACCCTCCCCCTAATAATCCGACAACACCCCTCACAAAGACGAAAAATTTGCTCTAATATGCTCCCTGGCGGCTTGACGACTTACTGCCGAATCAACAAGTTCCACTTTACTTCTGGCACCGGCTGCCGATTAACAGCTGGCTTGATCCAATAATTATATATTGAGGCGTACCCTAGTTTTTTAAGGCAACAGGTTGTCATGCCTAATGTTGCAGGCTCGGCTTTTCGTTGTTTGCCCTATTTTCATTGCCAACCGCAGTCGCTTTGTATCGTTGATGACCTCACCTTCATCTACCCCTGCTGGTCCATTATTCTCATCCACACGTCGAGCAAGTTGCCCTGTTTTACATCCTGGTCCCCTGTCAGTGTTGGGATCGGTACAACGGCTACGCGCTTTGCTTACCTTTCAAGTGGCGTCAATCCAAGGATGCGCATGCCATTAGCCAACGTAGTTCGTGCTGCATCGTATAAAGCCATACGGGACTTCATTAGCTCTCGTTCGCTGCCAACAACCTGCAGGTGGTCGTAACTGCTGCTGATAACATGTGTCATCTTGAAGAGATAGGTGAGAACTGTTGTTGGTTCCAATGTCTTGAGCGTGTTTTGTAAAACATCTGGCCATTGTGATAGCATTCGCACGATATTGACAGCATGGTCCTCCTTCAGAAGAGACAAGTTGGCGCTGTCCAAGTCCTCATCCGTGAGGTTTGCACGGCGCTTGATTGAACACAATCGGGCATGTGCATACTGGAGATAAGGACCAGTGTCACCTTCAAAGGACGTCATGGCCTCCATATTAAAAGTATAATTGTTGATTCTAGATGTGAGATTAGCAATTTGAGACGACTAGGCGCCTAAAGCCATCACCACTCACCTTTTGCCACTCATATCCTGAACCATTACACTGCTGATGCCGAGCGTGTCGGCTGTAGCATCTGGGTTCTCAACTTGAGCATACTTTTCCTCATTTTTCTTCATAGTCTCGTGCATGTGATCCGCACAGTCCTTAAGGATATCATCTAGGCTATTTTAATGCTCGTCAGCAACGCTCCAGGTAGAAAATATACAGTACCGTGGAGATGTATGAAGCCTACAATTTAACGGTTCCCTTTCGGGTGCTCATGCCAAGGACTAATCCAAAATTGATGTGCTGGCACTTCTTGGCAATGTCCTTGTACCCAAGAAGCTCGATGATCTGGAAAAGCTGCTTGAGGTGGAGATCCTGCTGG